AGAGGTGTATGAGTCACTAGTTATAGATTGTTAATAAGTCCCCAAAGCAATTGTATGCTTGTTCCAACTGTGGCACTCATTGCTAGGCTGCCAAAGATAACTGAGGTCAAAAATATTGATATCAAACTATTTTAATAATCACTGATCCTCATTTAATCTAGGGAATGTGTTAAATGTCATAATATATTCTTACCATCATTGTCAAATTAAGTTGGAATCCTCTTTGATATTTTGAGAGTTTTATCCATATATAAATGTGATTTGGATGATATTACACTCTTGGTATTATTAAGGCTAATGCTTATGAAATCTGGATCTTCTTTTGATGAAACATCATAATTATTGTAGAAATTCAGTTATATTAAAATTCCATCCAAATTTGTACTTACAATGTCCCAACTTTTTAATTTTGAAATTCCTTATCCATCTTTAGCCTAAATTATTAAAAATTCAACGATTTAATCTTCTGTCAACTCAACTAGCAAAGGTTAACTAAAGCTTAGCTTTAATTTTTGTCTTTAGCTTATTGAGGCTATTTAAATTTTAAAGTCTTAATCAACTATTTAAATTGTTGAGGTATTGTATAATTATGTAGCATTTTTAGTTTGATTAAATTCCAATTTTGAATTGCTAATAGAATTCAAAGATGACAGGAATATTTAAGCATCTCTCTGATTGTCTTAGGGTTTAACGATAATTTTTATCAAGTATTATGATTGTAATAAAAATTGTTCATTATCTCGACAACTCAAAACTATAACCAAGTTATATGTACCTTAGTCACCGTTTTTTGGATTAAGTTAGAAACCCCTTGATAAAATTTGAACAAAGGTAGGAATACTGATATTAGGTTAAATGATATAACTTATTTCAACGGCCATATTATTATCTGGATTCGCAATTTAAGGAAGTTTATAGGAATAGTTTTCTTTGACGTATAAAATGATTTATTTTGCAAGATCATCTTTAAAATAAGGAGCTTTCTTTTATTTAAAAGTTTAATTGATACTAGAAATATTAGACTAGTTGGTCTAACTTTAATTAGAATTTGCATAAGTTGAATTTTCATTTAAGTTTGTAGAATTTTAATTATTCTCAGTAAGATTTTTAGTGTCATTTTACTGAGTTTAATTTTCTTAAGGCTCTAGTGGAACAATTGTATCGTTCTAATTTTAAGTGCTATTATTTGATTCTACTGTTTAATTTTAACTACTTGTCTGATTTTCTTTCGAATTATTTTGAGATTACTAGGTATCATTATTCCCGGTTTAATTGATATTTGAAGTGTTATTTTCTAACTTAGTAATATTTGGGTTAGTTTAATTATCTAAAGAAGGTTCAATAGTTTTATTTGAGTTTTCACTTGAGTTCTAAGTTATATTACTATCGGGAGTGATATTTTATAGCCCATCACTAGAAGTGTTAGTATGATTTTAATTAGATTAATTATCATTTAAATTAGTTGTGTTATTTACAGAAGTATCATTTGAGTTTCCTGGATTAGATTAAGTATCATTGTTGGAGGAATTAGTAGAATTATTGGTCTAATTATTTTCTGTTTGAGTCTAGTTTTAATTTTATTCTAATGTATTATTTGAAGAATTATTCTGACTTTATGTTGAATTATCCGTATTGTTTACGTTTGAAGTATTTGCTTAATTATAATTACTAATTGCAATCATTGAAAGTTAAATAACTAAATTCTCCTCATATTTATTATTCAAATTAGCTTTTATAACTATTTAATATATTCCAGCAGTTGAATTTTCATTCGAACTTACTGTTAGATTAAAGCCTCCATTTTCCTTTTGCTAAAATTTTATAAAATTTGGTAGAGTTTACTGACTAGATAGATATGAATTATAAACCCAGACTAAATCATCACATTAGATAGAGTATTGGAAATAAGGAATATCTATAATTAGAGTAGTTGGATTTAGGTTAAGAATCTGATAAGAAAAGTTTTACGAAACAAGAGTCGGCTTAATTATTTATCCAGGTGGCATTGTTGCTTAGCATTCATCTGGGAGTTGGATGATATCAATATTTTTCAGTGATTTACTTTGAATACCTTCTACTATTTTGTAAACTATGCTCTCAGAAGAAGGTGTGTATGCCGTTTAACTTGGGTTCGAAAAAGCAACTGACCCTAATTGCAGTAGAAATAAATTCTGAGTCTTTATACTCTATGATTTTGTAGTGGTTGTTGGCAAGCAAGTGCTTTAAGGATAATTCATTATAAATCCTATTTTCTTATTATAGGAAATTAAATTAATGGCTGAAACTGATCCTAACCAAATAGTCTTTGATCCATCACCCGAAATATACCCATCCTTTCCAAACAATGTCTAGGCTGAGGATGAAGACACTTTTATTTGATTCAATGTTATAGCAGAACCAGCATATGAAACATCAGTCTTTCCAAAATAAATTGCAGAGCTCAATTCATTGTAGATTAAGAACCATACGGTAATGCTGTTGAAATTGACAGACAAGCATCTTGTTTTGGAAGTCATGTCAAAAAACCAAGTTTTGGCCAGAGTCATAACTCCTCCAAGAGTCTCTGAGAAATCAAGTAATGCTACATCATTCCCATCCGGGCCTAAATTTTCTGCGCAAGTTATTTAAAATATCTATAGTAAGTATTCGTATATCTTTATTTTTGTTAATGCTTTTAGGGCAGAATTCCCAGAAATATTATCAATCATATAAGTGTAGACTGATATCCCAGTTTAAAGCTAAATTTTTGTCAAAGCTAATAATTATTTAGCACTTCCCGCTATATAAAGATAGTCAAGTGCAGCTGTGTGAGAAATATCATAGCCATAGAGCTTGTTGGTAGTGGATCCATATGATTTATAATAAATTGGAGTAATCTGATTGCTTGTTTAATCAAATTATAATGCACTCACCATGATTTTATCTGACTCCCCATTAATTGCATAAATTGTATTAGAAGATGTCATAATTATGCCAATAGAGTATCTTGATTTCTTAGCTGACTATAAAGTATTACTATATTCATATAGAGACTTAACTAGAAATCCATTACTTAAATCAATAACAAATAGTCCATATTGAGGGCTATCTGACATGGCTATTGCAAAATTTTGAGTGTTCTTCTAGATACTACATTTCGAAAAGATCTTCGGAGTAATTTGAGATAATGTAGGATTATATGTGTATTACTTTTACCAAATCAATCTTCCTGAATTTTCATTAAGATATACTGCTATTGGAGTTTAGATTTAATCAATTATATCAGTTGATGATGAAACTCCTACTCCTAGAATGCTTTAGGTTTAGGAGTTGTATGAGATGCATTAAAAATCAGTATCCCCTAAATTACCTCCTAAAATTTAAGGTAAATTAGCTTTGGGTTGAGGGGAAAAGCATTTAATTGAATTATCGATCATTAAGTCCCTCTCTTGTTATTTGGCACGGCCAAATGAGACTGCAATAGTAACTATTATTAAGTTGAGTATGGCTCTTAAATTAATCATATTAATAGAATTTAAATAGAACTTTTTTTATACTACAATCATTGATCAACTTAAAATTTATTAAATCAAACTTATCAACTCATTCTGAAATTAGTACACTTATTTTTAAAATTTATTAATTTCCTAACAATCATAATCCTTTAACAGACTAAAAGAAAACTGATGGGGTTTTGGGGTTTTGGGGTTTTGGGGAGATCGGAAGAGCACACGTC